TTCATATAGTGCATCTTCACGTATAAGATGACCCCAGTCTACAATCCTGCAGAATCAACGCTAAGTTATATACCCTGTCTGTTTCAATTTTCTAGGCTCAGTTTTTGTCTAAGTATGGGGTGTTTATTGAGCAGTCTGAGGTAAAATTAATATTAAGATAAGACAAGATTAACAAAGAACTCTTTTTTATAAGCATACAATGTATAATTGTGTATTTAATTTCGAATTTGTTGACATGGTATTTCTGATGCTGACAGTAATGTATATACATTGGAAAAAACAGCAAAATTCATTATGTCATGCATTATGTGCAGCTACACCCTCCTGTGGGTGTTTGGAAAAAGGTATAACATTATATATCTTAACAAATGCTCTTCAATTTCTGAGACATTTACTGTTGAAATTGCCAATAAATGTGTACATTTTCATATTAATGTACTGTCGGAAATAGAAAAAAAACAACTGTTTTTAGGCTGTTTCACAAGTCGAGATTTTGAAAGCTTTTACTTCAATCAAAAACTCTGCTGGCGTAGATGGTATCCCTCCTGAGTTCGTCAAAAAAGCGGTAGGATTTGTTCAATATTTTGAAATTTTATTTAATTCAATGTCCCCTCGTTACCATTTCATTCTGTATCTTAAAATATTTGATTCTAAAGTTTCTCCAATCCTCTTTTACGGCTCAGAGATATGGGGCCATACATTCAGACAGTCTATAGAAAGGTTCAAACTGAATTTTTTAAGAAGTGTCTCGGGGTCTCCAGAAGAAAATCAGCAATGCAATTCTTGGTGATACAGGCAGAAGTTATTTGTGTGTTAATTATTAGTTGTTGTGTTAGATACTGGTGCAGACTTTTTCGAATGGATAGATCAAGGTATCCCAGGGCTGGTTATGAAATGATGAAACATTTTGATGAACAGGATAAAGTATGTTGGGTTTCACGTATTCGAATATTATTGTTTGAAACTGGCTTTTAATATGTATGGTTCACTCAAGATTGCAGTACATGCATGTAGTGTTAACAATTTTATGAATTTGTTTTCACAAAGATGTAGAGACATACAATTCCAAAACTGGTATTGTAAGATCTCAGGGTCATCATTTCTAAAACATTATAGTGGTTTTAAATCTGTTTTGGATGTTGAATAGATTCTTAAATTGTTTCCCGAAAAAGACCTGCTGAGGGTATATTGTAAGTTTCGCTGTGCATCTCATAAATTGATAGTTCAGTTAGGTAGATTTAAATGTTATGATAACCCCAATGCATTGTTATGTACAAAATGTCTCCTAGGCTGTACTGAAGACGAATTTCACTTTTTATTTATTTGTCCTTATTATAAGATAAACAGACAACTGCTTTTACCTGAATATTATTATAATAACCCGTCTGCTTCAACAGCTAGCATCCACTGACACAAAACTTATTAAATCTTTGTCGTTGTATTTGGAAAAGAAACTTGCCAATTTGATACCGTTGTGAATGATACACCAGTATGCGCACTGTGTGCAGTTGTTTCTGTATTAGTAATATGGGTCACTTGTCAATTGATATTATTTGTAAATTGTTTACCATGCAGTTTAATTCCCTAAAGGATTATTTTATTTATTATATCTCTATCCCCCAGCCTGACCCCAACATCCGCCTGCGACCCCATTCTGGTTTTGCTTTTGAGACGACCCCTCCTACCTGTTTGTTTTTATAGTGATAGTGAGACTCTAGGGTAGCTTCATCCTTAATAGTTTCAGTATTAAAGTTACGATTTTTGTAATACAATATCACCGCACACTAATTTGCATAAAGCCATGGTCTGTTCCAAAAAAATCACTTTGGACTTAGAAAAAAACGCGTGGCTAATTTTGGCAGTAATCTCTCCTCAGTAAAGTCCTTTTTTTGTATGTGTCCTATCTCCCTACCACTGAGACTGTAGTTAGGCCGAACTAAGTTTAACAGATATTTCACACTTTCACATATTAACTACCTAAATTGTAGATATAGGTGCGAAAAAACATTTTTTCTATTTCAGACAGTACTTTAGTCCTGGATATACCCAAGTCAGAGTGAAAATATGATATGTTTGATTGAAATTTTCGAAGTGGTAGTGCGAAGTGTGATACTTTATGGACGGCAACTTATTTATTATATTATGATGCAACATTTCGGTACAGATTCTTATACTGTTGTGAAGCAAGACAACAGTATACGGCTCTATACCAAAATGTCGCATCATAATATAATAAAGGAGTTGTTATCCATAAAGTATCATACCTGTCTTAGAGTGAAAACAGTCTGCATGAAAGCACCCTGGTCCATGGTCACCAAAATATAGTTGCTAACCCATTCTCTTGCTTCAATCGGGGCGGTGGGGTAGTCTAGTGGTTAAAGCGTTGGCTCGTCACGCCGAAGACCCGGGTTCGAATCCCACATGGGTACAATGTGTGAAGCCCATTTCTCATGTCCCCCGCCGTGATATTGCTGGAATATTGCTAAAAGCGGCGTAAAACCAAACTCAGTCAGTCAGTCTTGCTTCAATCCATCATACTATTCATATGAACATGATTTAAACTCCGCCTATTTCTTTATGTATAAGTACAAAGACTCAATATATTGTTGTACATGCTTTGAAAACTTCTGCTAAATACAAGAGTAACAATATGTTAATCTTTTTGAAACAAAAATGAAACTGAAATCTGTTAACAAATTTACTTGCAATCCGAAGGGAATGCACAAAACCAGTGAATATCAACAATGCCAGAAAGTATGTTTACCACCAGTCTGATGACAGTTCTAAGATAATGATTGTACAAATCACCACTGGCGGCCACATCAGAACCTGGTGTAGCCACCCCTCATATGGATTACCCCTCATATCTGCTAGTCACTTCATACCAGCAATCAAATGTGGAATACTTAGCATTAGAATCGTCTACCATTCCTCATGGAGTGCCTGCATCAGATCCTGCTGATTTTGAGCAGGAGAATCTCTAGCTTGAACTTGGTGTCTAAGATAGTTCCAAAATGTTCAAAGGGATTCATATCAGAACTAGTTGTGGACTATGGAACGTTTCAAAGGTGTTCTGCAAAAGGTGATGGCAGCTGGAGAACGTCTGGTGAGGTCCCGCTTTGTCATAATATAATATAATATGGTCTCTGATCTAATACAACAGCATGACAGTTCCGATCAAGAATACGACACAATGGGAATGGAATCGTCCTAGGGTACGTTTCTGTATTCTCATTATGGCCAGGGTACATATCGGTATACAGAAACGTACCTGGGGTACATATATCTGTAGTACTCGTGCCGACAACGACCCTTTCAGCTTAAGTGACCATGGATTTGACGAGGCTATGTGACACAGAGTTATAGATACACTGAGCTGGGATTCACTCAGATATTCAACCACACTAAATAAACGTTTCTGTATTCTCATTATGGCCAGGGTACATATCGGTATACAGAAACGTACCTAGGGTACATATCTGTAGTACTCGTGCCAACAACGACCCTTTCAGCTTAAGTGACCATGATTTGACGAGGCTATGTGACTAGAGTTATAGATACACTGAGCTGGGACACTCAGATATTCAACCACACTAAATACTGGCCGTATGGTGCCAAATCGGACCCATTATCTACTGAAAGGCAAAAGAAACGTCGTAATATTGGTAATGACATTTTGTCAATTCGTTGGTTTCACCTTACTTTTCAACTCGCTGTGCGCATGCGCAGAGCGTGTGAAAAATATCCCCTGCATGCTTCCGGTTTGGTCGTATGTTTATCGATAGTGTAAATGCACGCTAAATAAACGTTGTTATGAAAATTATTTACGTTGTGACAACTGTTCATAGTTGAGTACATACTTCCATTTGCCGCCTCTGTTTTTAAATAATTGATGTCCTATTTTGGTTGCAACTCCATCAGAGATGTGTTTATTAAGTTGTGACAGGGATACTCTACAACGTATCTGTAGTACCTGTGCCGACAACGACCCCTTCAGCGTCAGTTAACACATGCTCAGTGTGCTAATATTATTCGGAGTTGTTAATTGCATCCTGGGATGTTCCACATGGAGACCTTATGTACACCATGGATTATCCCCCTCTCCATACCGTTCCAACTCATGACAGGGAAGGTTTCATCCACAGATCGAGTTTGACCAAGACTATGGGGACAGTTATGCGGAGTGTGCGGGTTGTTTTGCCCCTTCCGTACAAGCACATATTTGCTGTACGCTTGTAAACATGGCTTGGTTATTACCAAAACAATCTAAGAACATACCACAGAGCATATGTGAAAGCTCATTCATGACGATAGATTTCCCTCGCCTCCTTTGAAGGGAAGAATAAATAAGATGCACGATTCCCCTTTTCTGGAGTCGACAAACAGGGATGAGGAGTTTCTTCAGCTGGTAATGAACATGAACTTGAAACTACTTTTACCAGCAAATCGAGTTAGAACTCTTACCATACAAACACATAATTCATTGAGATCGGAGCGGATATAAACTTGTTCGTGTCCGGGACACCCACATCTGTGCAGGTTGACCAAGTTTCTCTAACCTGATTAAAAGGCTTTCTTGACGAATTGGTGTTAGAAGGTTTAGTTCAGTTCAGTGTAAATGTGGACGTCCTCCCTGTTTACCTTGTTTCAACATCAGTAACTGCTCTCCGCTCACATCGAAAGATTGGTCACGACACAACTGATTATCTGCACCAACCACTTGAAGTGACAAACATGGTAAGGTTATTGAAAACACGAATTATTTCCAGGTATCCACTAACAATAAATAGCTACTGCTGAAATATATTAATACGAATCTTTTCATTCCTCTGACAGGGCTCTTACCGCCGAGATTAAAGGACGGGTGCCGTCTTTTGCCGTGACACACCTGGATACAGAGAGGCGTTCGGTTGTCTCACACACACACACACACACACACACACACACACTTTCTCAGTTCGATGCTAAAAAGCAACGTCATAATTTAACATTGTCAGAATTTCTAACTGTGATATAGTTGCCTTTGTCACAGACAAAACTCAATGTCTGTTTTATTACTGAAAACAAAGTTCATACTGAGGAATAACACTTTTCATGTTGATGGCTCCCATTATAAACAAGTTAAAGTACGACAATGGGAACAAATGTAGGAGTATGTAATTATGTATATATAAGCAAGTGTATTTTAATTTGTATTTTAATCACTAAGTCTAGCCCTAGCTTAACCACTCAATCTAACCTGCTTCACTTTCACAATAGCACTCTCACCCTTGCGCTTACGTTGTCTATTGTATCTATTGTCTTGCTCCAGCCCCAGGCCCCTTAGTTTCAATAGCAGGGTGTTTTGTGGGTCAGCTATCATTTTCACTTCAGTCTGTCTGGTCACTGGTCACAGCTAGCAACAGCTTATAACAGGTTAGTTTATATTTGGATTGTGTATTTTATGTTTTCATGTTTAGTGTGTGTATGTATTATTTCTTAGCTTCCTTTAAAGCATGTATCATGTTATATGTGGTAAATATTAATCAAATTAACTATCTGTTACATGCAGCATAACTAGGTCTTAGCAATACTTTATATATGTAAGTGTATTGCAGGTAATCTTAGACAGCATTCCCACGAGGATGTTATCTAACTTATTGTGTAGAGTAAACCTAATGTGTACATCTACTTCTTTAAACTAATGCGCCAAACTTTGCATGTATGAATGAATGTATGTATGATGGGATGGCTTATTAGAACAGATATTTTATGTACAGTAGATTGATAATGTACAGATGTAGAATGTTATATATTATTGGATTTGTATATGTTTATGTTCAGGTGTGGCAAACATAGTTCCTGACGTTTGTGACGGTAACGGGCACAGTGCCATACACTCGGTGAGGGTTCTTTCATATTATATTGGAAATAATCATGTTATGTACTTGTATGATGCTACACGTGTATCTTGAAATATAAACATTATATACATATACACATGTCTACTCTGAGACCTCATTAATGAATAGTGATTATATTGATTATATATGATTGCAGTACTTATTGCTAAGCCTCACATGTATTGGCCCATGAAGTATTGTAACGTATTTTGATGCAATGTATTTATTCTTTTACAGGGCCTTCTTCAGTTATTGCCATTAAACTGACATCTACAAAAACTATTTGCCTTTGTGGTATATACCAAACCACACACAATATTATATTCTAAAATATACTGTAAGCCATTAAAAACGCAATTGGTATTTGTTGTCCTGAAACTTACATAAGTTCTATTGAAGATTTTTTCCTGCGATACAGAGGATGTAGGGGTAAAAGGCTGTTATTCTGGCCCATTTTGAGTTCGAGTCCCGGAACATTCCTCTCACATGAACTTTGGTACTTAAAACTGAACCTTTGACATTTCTCGTAAACACAACCACATTCATGAAACATGTTGTGCACATGCATTGCCTGCACCCAGGCCCTGTAAAAGCACAAGGAATTGTGGAACTCAATCACTTTGAGAAAATGCCACACTTGACACAAGACGAAAGGAATCAGGTTATCGGTATGGTCAGCCAAGGTGCTTCAGATGTGATGATTGCCAGGCACTTTAATGTGCATCCATCAACTGTAAATCGACTCGGACAACGTTTTCGGGCTACCGGAAGTGTTGCTGATCGTCCGCGACCTGGTGCACCACCTGTGATAACAGCTCGACAAAACCGCAATATCCTAGTTTCACACTTGCGAAATCGGTTCCTAACAGCTGATGATTAGGCAAGGAGGACAATTGGGACAAGTCAACGTCATTTCAGCGCCCAAAAGGTGCAAGGACGCCTTGCTGCCTTCAACATCCGGTGTCGTCACCCGTACCGTGGTCCAACCTTATTGCATCGCCACAGACTTGCCAGACAGCGATGGGCAGCAAATGGGGCCAATCTTGGCAACAGGACATGGCCAGATGTCATTTTTTCAGATGAATCCAGGTTTAACTTTGCAGATGGACGTCAACAGATTTATCGACGTAAAGGAGAAAGACTTGCGCCAAACTGTGTCCTTGAACATGATCGTTTTGGGGAGGTGTCATGATCAGACCACAGACCATCAGAGGCTGCAGACCATCCAACAGCTGTTCCTGAGAAATGTGTGTCTTTCAATGCCCCAAAGACTGCGAGCATGTCTTGCAGCGCACGGTGGACACACACGATATTGACTGCAAGTGACCCCTCCTTTGTTTGATGTCGTTGTTGCGTCACTGATGTTGTTGTTGACTGGAAATTTTCAGATGAAATTATTCACAGATGTTCACTTAAAAACATATCTGCCAGTTAGGTTTATATATGTTGACATTAGTGTGAGTAAAGAAAGTATGAATGTGAAATTGCATTTTAATGGCTTTTCAGTATATAAGAAACATTTGGCGAACCATTTAATGCAGAATTTCAAAATCGGTGGAAAAGATTCTTAGATGACTGTTTTATAGTCTGAAAGAAGTGAAAGTGATTTGGAATCCCTTTCGAACATGCTACAAAATTTACACCCAAGTTTGTCTTTTACCAAAGGGTAAACAGTAAACATCTTCCTTTCCTTGATGTACATGTTTCAATTTCAAACAACATTGTAGAAACCGACGTATATAATAAAGCTACAGATTCAAAACGGTATCTAGACTACAATTCATGTCACCCACGCCACACAAAAACAGTGTCCCTTACTTTTTGGCGCGAAGAATATGCACCATAGTTTCAAATCCAGACCGTGTAGACTTCAGGCTAAATGAACAAAGAAACTACCCGAGACAAATCGTTAAAGATGCTATATTTAAAAGCAAAACAACTGAAGTGAACTGCTAACTGAAAAGTTAAAGAAAAGGTTCATGAAAATGTCCTTCCATCTGTATCCACATTCAACCCGCGAAATCCTGAACTATTAACTAAAGTTTGTGAAACTCTCCTGTCTTTACAAAAAATGTGACATTTTAAAAGATAAACTGACAAAAGTCAAGTTAATTAAAACAAAAGACAGGGTAAGAGTATCAAGCAAATTTTAACGAGGGCAAACTATATAAAATCTAGTCAGGACATAAAATCTGTAACTAAATGCGAGCGACCAAATTGTGGTACATGCCAATATCTAATAGAGGGATATGTATACCAGTTCAAGACTGATAAAATCTTCGAAGTACATGAAAATATGACATGCGCATCTCAGAATCTGATATATGTCATAAAGAGCAGTGGATGCGGGGAGGAGTATATCGGACAGACGGGAGATACCCTACGTTCAAGAGTGAGAGTTCACAAACAGCAAATTCGGGACCCCTCCTATCGCTGTATCCCACTAAGTGGACATATAGAAAGATGTGGTGGGAACAAAATACCAAACTTCACAATATTCCCATTTACAAAATATTGTCGGACAGTGATGAAAAAATAAAAATAAAATAAAATTATATCATCAAACTGTTCAGACGTAAACTCCGACTTTGTCCATCTGTATACTATAAAATTAATTAGATATTCCACTGTTTGTATATTAATGACCTCAAATTAGAAGATAAAGCTACTCTGTTTTCAATTTTGCGGTCCTTTATCGTTTATTTAAGACCGCTAAATGTAATTACTGTGAATATTGTAGTAGCGGAATATGGGGTGAATGTTGGTGGGTGGATGGAACGCACACAACATAACGCTACTTGTGTTATCAGATGACAGCCTTTTATTATTGACATGAATGTTGGAACAACTCTGAAAATATACATAAATATAACTAAGTATTTGAGCATAAAGGTGTACATATACATGTTTTACACTTTCTATATATTCTTAAATTCAGCTAGCCCTGAGAATGCACTAGCATAAATAAATCTTTAAATATAAATAGCAACCTGAAAACTATTCATACATACATATATCATTTAGGACATTTAGTAAATATATTACAAATATACATGAAGAAAATATATAGAGTTTATTACAACATACACTTACCACTGTGTGGCAGTGAGTGTGCATCAGCTCTCATGCAGTCATGGATCAATCATATATATCATCATGGATCATTCTAAGAAAAGTAAAATACAAACTTGATAATACTACTATTGGTATAAAAAATAAGTAATGATAAAAACAATATTTAATCAACATCACATCCACCCTCACTATTTCATACCACATTCATACGATTATAGAAGTTAATTATGTTTAGACTGGTATTTACCTACCACATACACCATATTTAATGTAAATAGCTAATTGATATTTAATGATATAATGTAGATAAATTACATTTAAACTACACATCCAACCAACTGTAGTGAGGGTTGGAAAACAATAGATACATTTAACTACACACCGATGCATTAATGTAACACTTCTTTAAAAAATACACTATATACAATGCCATATATACACATACAATATATGCACTGACCTGAATAATAACATCTTCATTATGATCCAGAAATGTTCCAGAAAACACAAATATACCACAGTGATGTGATCCTCCACAAAAATCTATGTGACTGCCAACAGGTTATGTGTGACAGCCACCTTTCAGACTAAACAAACAATAGGTGGCAAGCTGACCAGAGAAACTGGGGCAGAGGGACAAAAGAAGCTTGTGCAGAATGTAAGCGCATGGGTCAGACCCTGGCCTGACCCAGTAGAATTAACTATTGTTAAATGAGTAAATGCATAAGTGTAGAAGGTTAACTGAGAAGGTTTTGTTATAAGCTGACACCTATAAAGTATGCAATAACTATCTACAAGTACTTAAAATTGAAACTTCGAAACTATGAAACAAATAATGATTAAAACATGACTTGGCCACAATATGGTAATACGGTACAAAATATGTTAATTAAACATTGGTTTAAGGGAGAAAACTCCGTTTTCTTTAGCGGTATGCACGGTGAGCATGCCACCGGAAAAGGGGAATAACTCTCGGGGTTTTGTGAAGGACGTTTGAAGGTTGTAATGGGTTCTGAAATAAAAGGCTCAACTGCGCACAACTGCACACGTGGTGGAAATGCCAAAACGATCCAAATATGAGCCAAATTAAACTTGAACGTTACAGCGGATTGCCAAACGAAGATGGCGCTACATATACGGAAATTTGAAGCATGAGCGGCAATTCAGAGGTATCGTGATGATCAATACGGATCAGTTATGTTGTTGTGTCTGGAGGACGCTGCTTTGCAATGGTTTCTAGATTTGCCTGATCATGTAAAACAAAGTAAAGACAGACTTTTTTACCACTTTAATGAACACTTTGTCCGTGGTCAAAGTGCATGGCTGTAGGAACAACTGTTGTGGGATCGCACAATGCTTGATGGAGAGCCGCTTGAATCTTACATAGCAGGCGTTCACCAAAAGTGCTCACGTTTAAATAAGACTGAACATGATAAACTCTCTATCTTTATCAGAGGGTTGAAACCTATCCTGCGTGGTCCGGTTATGCAACACAAACCTGAAACGCTCACATGAGCAATCCAACATGCACGATTAGTACATGAGAGTCAGAGTATTGACACAATACAGTCGTACCCAAGCCCAGAGAAATATGCCATAGACGCATTGACATCAGTGATGTCAGGTTTGACAGATCAGATAAAGAAACCCTCAAGGTTTAAGGTGTTACCAATGTGGTGGATTCAATCATTTGGCCAAACACTGCTTGCTGGATATTGGAAAGGAGGGGATAGGAGGTTAATAGGTTGAACTTGAAGTTATTTGAGCAACATTGTGAAAGAAACCTCTAAATTGTTAGATGTGCAGAATACAGACAATGAGCTACCATCCCTCATGCAATGGCCAGAGTGAGAGAATGATGTCGACAATCTTAGCATCATGATCTAAATATGTGGACGACACCCATGACCAGTGGGACAGACATATTCCTTTCATACAGTACTCCTACAAATATAACCCCATGTCACCATTCTTTCTTGTGTATGGACGCTACACATGGACTTTTACGAGTTGATCGCCCAGAGGATCCGACACCTCCAGTGAACATAGACAGTGTGGAGCCTGCCATCCCTAGGTGTCGAAGAGTTACCGGAGTCTTGCAGCCAGAGTGATTCAGTAGAATCCAGTAATGACAATGACACCAACAGTGACTCTCAATATGAAATTGAGAGAATACTCAGGAAAAGATTACTGAACTCT